TAAGTGCTATAAAGAAAAATCAAGTGGAGCAGGATAGGGAGTGGGAGACATCCTTGAGAAATCAATATTAAAGATTTAAAAGAGGTAAGACACCAGGCTGGTTTCGATTTCTAGGGGAAGACTGGACCAGGGAGAGACACAAGTAAAGGCAAAAGCCCTGATGTGGGGCTTGTTTTGGGACCAGCGAGGACGCCAGCGTCCGGGTGTGGGGAGAACAGCAGGAGGCAGGACAGAGGTGAAGCACAAGCCCGAGGAGGCTTCTCTCGTCACTCTGAATGAGAGAAAGGCAAAGGGGAATTGTGAGCACGGAGTAGACGGATGTGACTGTCATAAAAAAAGAAAAATCGTCCTGGCCAATATACTGGGACTAGATTATAGGAAGGCTGGGGTGCAAACACAGAGGACAGTTGGGGGGCTTTCAGAATAAGCCAAATGATAGAAGGTGGTTTGGCAAGATGCTTAGAAAAGGTCAAGTGCAGCTTGGGCTGGCACATGTGTCAAACGTGAGCTTAGCCTTTTGCCAGGAGACTCAGGTAATCTCAAGCTCCCAGCTGTTCTGTAGCATTGGTAATAATGAAAGAAATACATGTTTTATAAAAAGAATAACTGGGGCTGGCTGGTTAGCTCAGAGGATCCGAGCGCTGTATTATAACACCAAGGACAATGGTTCAGACCCCCCTACCAGCCAGCTGCTCCCCCCATAAAAGATCATTTCTTGACACTCGTCTGGTTCACCAAACCCTCATCCATGTGATTATCAAAAAGTCACTCAACAGTGGAAGGAAAAAGAATTAAGAGAAAGTAACAATTGGATTATAGACATATTTTGAAGGCAGAGTCAACAAAGAGCATTAAGATTTTGGCCTAAACAGCCGGAAAGATGGACTTGACACCCACTGAGATGGAGACAGCTGTAAGACAAGCCTAAGGAGGAACTCTGGTTGTTTGGTTTTGGTCAATTTCCAATGACCCATTTGACATTTCCATCTGTATTTATTAAATACAGATGATCAAACATGTATCAGGCACCGGGCCAGATGCTGACTAAGGTGGCTACAAAAATTGAGAAGATGGTGTCTGAGGCACAGTAAGAGCTCATTATACATTAGCTGCTGTGTTATTTTCCATGACTCCCCCCATTGCACGCCTGCCTTTGAGCTGCGTTAAACAACAGTACTGGAACCCAGTCTTCCTGTCACGCCTTTCAGCTGGAGCCCCTTCCCCACTCTCTCCACGTCTCTCCTCAGGTCCACTGAAGACCCTCTGGTCTGTCTGAACTACCCTCCCCCGCCCCAGCTCCATTATTTGTGCTGTCCTAGCATCCAGTGCACACCTCTTTTTTTCTTCAGTACTTACCACTCAACATTATAATTGTCTTTTTTGGTCTATTTTGATGTACTTTACTAAATTGTTAGCTCATTTTAACACACCCTCTCCTCCACCCACAGCCCATTGCAACAAATCCAAAGTCTCCAACAGCTTCTGAAACATTCTCAACGTTATTCAAATTGCTTTCCTTGGCAAAGAATGCAGTAAGTCTTCCGTCTGGCCACCAGCCCCCTTCCCTTTGGTCTTTCACTCCAGAGGCTCTTCCCTAGACACAAAGGCTCAAGGACGGGGGGATGGGGTGAATTCATCACCAGCTTTTATGCAAAGAATCCCTTCTGCAAAGAACAAAGCTTCTCGTACCTGCTGTTGAGAGAGCTGCGGGCTGAGAGCTGCGGGCAAACTCGGGTATTTGGCGGCCTTGACAGCCCCATGTACCAAACTGTGCTAACTGAGAGCCAGGAAGTCAAGGGTTTCTCGTACCTGCTGTTGAGAGAGCTGCGGGCTGAGAGCTGCGGGCAAACTCGGGTATTTGGTGGCCTTGACAGCCCCATGTACCAAACTGTGCTAACTGAGAGCCAGTAAGTCAAGGGTTTTTTATTTTTATTTTTTTAAAAACATATCCTACTTCTAATGAGGCAGTGACTATCTGCCTGAAGTACAATGTGTCTAGTTCCACTCACCCTCTCCCCAACGCCTCCCTTCTCAGGCTTCACCTCCAGAATTATGGTTTGAGAAGATGAAGAAAAAATTACACAGATTTTCATCTCCTTGCATTGGACCCAGCGATACCAGCACTCTCACAAGTTGGCATCTTTGCACTGTGAACAAACATCAGCTGGTGTGGGAGGGAGCAAAGCCAGCAGCTCTCGGTGGGGACCCAAGTAGCAGAGTGCAGGGGAGGATGAGTCAAGAGTTGTGTCTTAGAAAAACATATAATTGGGATTTGCGAACTGTTTACTTTTAGGGATGGGAGATTGGAAAAGAAGAAATCTTGTGCTTCTTCAATATTGGATTTGGGAAGGATGAGGAAGATGGAAAACTGTAGACTGTTGTCTTCATCCACAAATGTGTTAGTGCTGGAACCCAACTCTAAAAACTTTGTTGCCTGAAAAACATACTCCCTCTTCCCCCAAAATTGGGGGCGTGGGGATGGGACGGTGTTGAAGGACATGACAATACTACCAGCCGGAGAAGGAAAAGCTAAAGCATCAGAGGGAAAAAACCAGATGAAGTTGATTGACCAAAGACAGGAGACTAAACATGGATTCTAAAGGGAAGCTGTCACAATGCTTTGGCAAGTTCATTTCCAGGAATATCATTTGTTTTTAGAAGATGTTCCTCTCTATGTCCCCTCTTCCAGTAGGGCTGGTTTAGTGGCCAATAAATTTCATTATTTTACATCTAGTAATGTCTCAGATGAAATAAGAAGGTGATGTTTTCATTCTATCATGTTGTTCACTGGGTTAAAGAAGCTTCTATCCAGTAACTTGTATATAAACGCTAATTCAAAAATCTTCCACAGTAAAAAAAAGAAAAGAAAAGAAAAGTCTCTACAGTACTGATAGATGTGGAATTACTAACAGGGCACCAATGTGTCTTAGGTCGGCAGGTCGTGCTGCTCCTGTCCTCTGGCCTTTGTTAAAAACCAAGTGCTGGTGGATTTTGCTGTCTTTCCGAAAGCTAAAAAACAAGAGGAACTAAGGTGGGAGTTGAAAACAAGAACCAGTTTTAACATCAACTAATTAATGCCTTAGCAACATGCCATGTATGTTTGTGACCTTAGAAGGAGCGAAAGAGGAACATCGAGCTGGTGAAGTTTCTGCTAAAACTAGCCAGATTTTGAGATCCTAAGGAGTTCAGATGGAGAAATTGTCTTAGTGGGCATTTCCACAACCTGAGGTAGCCCCAGGAAACTGAGGTGCATCCTTGATTTAAAAGGTGGAAACGTAGTAAACCTAGAAGTGTGGGTCCCGGTACCCGCCAGCGACCAAAAACACCTAGAAGCGTTTAATTGCTGGGTTATATTGTCTCCAGGTTGGGCTGAGCCAGTTTTCCAGTTCCCCACCTCGTCTGGGTTACTCGCAGCCACTTTTGCATTACAATGGCCTTGGTGAGACTGGCAGACGGGATTAACTGAGAATTCACAAGGGCGTGGGGGGCGTGGGGGCTGCCAGGAGGGCGGGTCTAGGGGTGATAGCGCTTTCCTTATAAATATAGACTCCAGAGTCAATGTTTTGCTGGATCGGGCCTGCTACCTCCTGTTAGCTGCGGAGGCCACTCATTTCATCCTGGGTTTTGATGGTTTTACGTCTGGAGATCGTATTTCTCTAAGATCCTCCACCTAGATATTTGTCTTAAAGGCTTAACCTTCTTTTACGGTCGAGCTCTTTGATTTTTCCCCTCCCTTCAACATGAATGTGGATCCACCTTGCCCCCAAAGCCAACCTTGCCCCGAAGCATCAGATTCTAGAGATTCTTCACCAACGCCTGTGATCTGTGGGCCTGAAGAAAAGTATCCACCCCTGCAGATGTCTTCTGCTGAGATGCCACATGCAGAGACTGGTAAGAAAAAACTTAATCCTTGAGAGACCAAGTTCCTTACAGGAAAGAGAGAAGGAAAGTGGGTTAAGGAGTCATTTCTCTCTTGAGCAATTATAGTCCATTAATATAAGTGGGTGCCATTATCTTACCAGTCTTCTGCACACCCCTCTTTAAATTGTAACTTGGTGGCACATGCCCTTTCATCTGTGTCCCAGTCTCAGGAGTGTAGACTGAGATGAGGGACACGGAATTCAGCAATTTGACTCTGTACTGTATGTACATTTGAGAACCGCTGGGCTTAGGCACAGTGAAGACACAAATGTGGTAATTGAATAAGGTGATGCACAGATCTCAAGTAACATAGTGCTGGGCACGCAGTTACAATAGATCGTATTGCTGATTAACCAGAAGACCTAGTATCTCAACTTTAAGTGGGGTTAGCACCACATTTGTCAAAACGGCATGGCAAATCAAGGTGAGATTTATGTAATTAATATATACATTACGTATACATTATACAAGTGCATAATCCACATTTGTCAAAACGGCATGGCAAATCAAGGTGAGATTTATGTAATTAATATATACATTATATATACATTATACAAGTGCATAATATATATATATACCTATATATATAGTGGTTGGCTCTTCTCCTGCCATTTGGGTATATGGGTATTACTGAGCAGCTCTGAGTTTGTGGGTACCTGCTATGCTCACTTCTCCTAAATCCCAAGGTAGTATCGATCCAATTTATGTTAAAAATAATTCCAGAAAGTTTAGTGTGTTGCAAGTCAAACGGAAAGTGGCTAGAGTTTGGACCTTTTTTTTTCTTTTTGGCGACTGGCCAGTAAGGTTGAGTTGGGATCTGAAATCCCGTTTGGGTTCGAAACCTAAGCTATACTCGTGCTTGTAAGTGGTAGCTTCAGAGTGTGAGGAATACTGCAGAGTCGGTAACAATTTTGGGGGAATCTATTCATCAGTAGTTGTTAAGAAGAAAAACAACCAACTTTTACCCAAGAATGCTGTTTTTAACATGATATAAAATAGCTTAAAAACTGTATGTACATTATGACTATGACAGCAAAAAATAAGCTGTGGAAAAAGGAATACTGTTATATTCCAGCATTCAATTTTTAAAAACTTCTTGAAGTTTTAGTACATTGGGAGTGGGTGCGCTTCAGGAATTTGCGTGTGGTCCTTGCACGGGGCCAGGCCATTTTTTTCCGTGTCATTCCGTCTTTAGTGTGTGCTGCCGGAGCAAGCACAAGCGTTAGGTGGTAATTGTACCATTTTCTAACCTTTATGTTAATGTCCTTGCCTCCATGATCTCAAATGTTAAAAATAAAAGTGCTGGGTTGTGGGGAAGCACTTGGAAAGGAGCAAATAGGTGTGTCCTCCTTTAGCAGATCAAGTGCACATTTGTAGCCATAGCTAAGGTTTAGGACATGCCCCGCTTCTAATCATTAGAGGACATTTTTTTCCTTCTTAAATCTACTTGCAAAAAACAGGAAATTGTGACTTTTGCTGTTTTAGAGCCTATTTATTCCATGACTACAAGATAGAATTGGATTTGAACACTGGAAACACCCCAGTGCAAATGAGTATTTAAGGGGCTACTAAAATCCAGGTAATACTGAAGATTTTTAGTTACAAAGTCAATAGTTACAAAGCCAGGTCCTGTGCTAGGCAATTTTAATCTGTTACTTCATTTTAATTGATGAAGGAATGATTTTAGAGGTGAGGTCAAAGAGCTAGTAAAGGCAAAACCTGGGTTGAAACAGAAGTCTGTCAAAATCCATATTTCCTGCTAATCTTGGCATTTAGAGCTGGCAGTAAGTTGCTGGTTTTATAGGATCCCCAGCTGCCAAAAAAAAAAAAAAAAAAACTAAAAGAATTAAGATGTTACTTACTACCTAGGTCTGGGGTTGTGCGGATTATAAAAGTGCATTGTAGACTGTAATTTTTTTTAATTAAATGTTTTGATATATGAAAAGTTTTAGAGAAAAGTGTCATTTTATTTGTTCCCAACAGTCTCTCCGCTTCCTTCTTCCACGGATGTGCTTATTCAGGACAGCCCCGATTCTTCTACCAGTCCCAAAGTAAAACTGCCTGCTTCTGCAGAGAAGAGCACAGTGAAAAAGGAAGAGAAGGTAAAGAAACAGAAGACCAGGACCGTGTTCTCTCCCACCCAGCTGTGTGTTCTCAATGATAGATTCCAGAGACAGAAATACCTCAGTCTCCAGCAGATGCAAGAGCTTTCCAGCGTCCTCAACCTTAGCTACAAACAGGTAGGTCGTTTTGTTGTCGTCTTTGAAATGAGATAAAATAAGACTAATTTGCAGATGAATACGGCTAACATCTCTGTAGATGCACCTCTGTGTAATCCGGGTGTCTGTGCACCCCCCTACAAATAATTTAAAAATGAAAATAGAATCTTTTTGTGACTTGTTTTTCACCACTTCTTTCTTTCATTAGATATTCTATTATGCAAATGGGTCATAATTCATTAACCACTTTCCTTTGTTGCACAAACCAAAATTGTGAATGTGTTTCCAATTATTCCTGAATCAAAGCGGGGAGGCACACAACTCTGCCTTCCAGGTTAGAAGAATCCCTAACCAACACTGGTCTTCATTAAAGTAAAAATCCATCTTCTTTTTTTATCCGTGTGCCTTTGCTTATTGATACGGTCAACTTTTTTACATATTTATTGACCATTTTCTTTTGTCATTTACCTTATCCTCTTTGAGCATTTATTTTCTATCTACTTGTTCACTTCTTACAAATGAATTTGTAAAAGCTCCTCAGCCCTAGACCAGTAATGGGTAATTTTGGTTTTATGATGCTTGTAGAAATCTGGAAGATTTTTATTCAATCAAATATTTCATGGTTTTCTATCTCTGGTGCCATACTTAGAAAGTTGTTCCCTATTCCATGCTTTTATATATGTGCACACTGATTCTTCTGTGATCTCATTTCTAACTGAAATGTTTACAAACCATCTGGAAATTTTAGTTTATTGTGTGCTGGAAGATAATTTTTTCTTAAATAGTTCTTGTCCTAGTGGTATATTTCATAATTCCTGAATTGAAATGCCACCATTATTACATGAAATATAAATGTGCTTATGGGGGGGGGGATATTATTGCAGAGAGGCTACCTTTATCTGTGACTAATGGAGTGGGTAAGTGTAAAAAAGCGAGATCAGTAGACATTTAAATATGATCTTCCTGGTTAGTAGATTTGCAGTGGGTCTTATGTAACTGGCTAGATTTATTCAACAACAACAACAACAACAACAACAACAAAAAACCCAGATAACTAATTTGAGGGGCTTGGAAATTCATTCATAGAATATTGGTTCAAGATTTTAATAAGGACACTAAAAAATCCACATTTTGGTCCTAGATGCTAGTATTTTATAATTCCTGTCACTTTTCCTCCAGGTTAAGACCTGGTTCCAGAACCAGAGAATGAAATGTAAGAGGTGGCAGAAAACCAACTGGCCAAAGAACAGCAACAGTGCGGCTCAGGTAATGGGAAACTTTATTTTTTTTTCCCGCTCTTTCCTTTCAATGACCTTTCAGTTTTGTTCATCCCTGAAGCCAGCACTCCAACAACAGACAGTTTTGATCTTCCTTGTACCCTTTCCACCATTCTCTTTCAGAAGGGCTCAGCACCTACAGAATACCCAAGCCTCTACTCTTCCTATCACCAGGGATGCCTGGTGAACACATCTGGAAACTTTCCTCTGTGGAGCAATCAGCCCTGGAATAATCCAGCTTGGAGCAACCAAACCTGGAACAGCCAGTCTTGGAGCAACCATTCCTGGAACAGTCAGACCTGGTGCACCCAAGCCTGGAACAATCAGGCCTGGAACAACCCGTTTCATAACTGTGGAGAAGAATGTCTGCAACCCTGTACGCAGTTCCAGCAAAATTATGCCAGTGATGTGGAGTCCACCATGCAAACCGCTGGGGAAAGCCATAGTGTAATACAGCAAACCACTAAGTATTTTAGTAACACGCAAACCATGGATTTATTTTTAAATTACTACATGAACATGCAGCCTGAGGATGTGTGAAGATGGGTCTGTTATTCAGCTTCAGTCTGGGCAGTGGCTGGAACCCACCCTTCCTCATAGGACCTTCCTGATTTTAGAGCTGTGTCCCTCTGTCTTGGTATCCTGGTTCTTGTGCCAATTCTGTCAATTTGGGGGGTGAGGTATGACTGGAATCTAATCCAACCTCAAGTAGAAAGCATAAAGTACAGACATGTGTGATATGAAAGGGTTATTACTATTTTCTGGAATGGGGGGGCTTTACTTAAAATTTTAACTCAATTGTTCAGGTGAAGGGTTGAACTTATAATGTTGATTTCCTCCACTCCTTTTGTCTCTGTTTTACTACAACCTCTAATTTCCTTACTCTAATATTTGTAGAAGGAAGTTTTGTATTTTGCTACATCATGATAATATCTGCCCCAGTTTGGCTGGTTTAATAAAACATCTATTTTACCTTTATTTGTCTCTGTCCTGATTTCACCTAGTGTTTTTCAATGAGTAAAAATTCGACTAAATATGAGTCTTTGTTAACATTTTTTGATGTGGGGAAGAAATTAACTGGGGAGACTGCTATCTTAGAAAAGAGTAAAAGAAAGGTTAGCAAATCCTGCCAGGCCCTACACTTGAACAAACTTACATCCTCCTCCTTACTTACGTGTGTCATTTCATTGAAACAGTAACATTTGTGGTTATTTGCAGTTAAAGAAGAGATCTTGCCACATCTGGAAGATTTGGAGCAGAGAAGGGACAAGGAGAGACTTTTAGGTTTGTAAAGAAGCTAAGTGAAGAGCAGATGAGGGAAAGGGGGGACTACAGAAGGTAGAAGGAGTTAAAAGAGGAGGGAAAAAAGGTTAAGATCCCCTTACCGGTCATCTTTAAAAAACAAAAAACAAAATTATCTGTTTTCCTTAAATGCATTAGCCCAGGTTGAGATGGTTCCTTTCCTGAATATTCTCTATCAAAACATTTCTGACATGGGGAAGAGGGAAATTCGGGTAGTTGAACAGGAGAGGTTTAAGATTTTTGGTTCTTCCTAACTCAAATCTTCATTGTGACTTCGTTCACTTAAAAAAAAAAAAGCTATTGGTAAAATATTAAAACAAGATATGATAACATATAGTTAAAAGAGACAACCACTGTTAACTTTGATGTTACCTTTCCAGACACTTTCAGGCATACACATGACATAAATAATACAGATACTATATAACATTTTTCCCTATCCAAATGTAGGATTATAATGTACATTTTGTTCTGCAACTTGTTTTTTCTGTTTAATATATCATAGATATCCTTCCACATCAGTATATTTAGACCCGACTCATTCATTTTAATTACTGTGTAATATCACAGATTACAGAGGTACTACGATTTATTTGTTTCTATTTCTGCTTTGGTTACTTGTTACTACAAATAATACTATCACTATCTTGTCATTGTTTAATTAATTAATTTATTGTTTTCATTGCTTAAATAAACATTAAGGGCTGGCCTGTTAGCTTAGTTGGCTAGAATGCAATATTAACACCAGGTCCAAGGGTTCAGATCCCCTTACCAGCCAGCTGCCAAAGAAAAAAAAAAAAGGAAGAAAATGAAAACAAAAATAATAAACGTTAAGACATAGATAGGTTTTTAAAAATGGAACAATATTTTCACAAACAATAGAAAATTGGAAGCCAGCTGCCAAAGAAAAAAAAAAAAGGAAGAAAATGAAAACAAAAATAATAAACGTTAAGGCATAGATAGGTTTTTAAAAATGGAACAATGTTTTCACAAACAATAGAAAATTGGCTTGAAATTAGAGTTTTTGGGTTGACCATTTATTTCCCTTCTGATTTCATGGCTGAGAACTAACCGCTGGCTACTTTATTAAAGCACTATTAGGTAATAGTGACAAAAAAAAACCCAATAGCGATTAAAAAAAACCAAAGATGCATTAGAAAGGTATAGTCTTTAAGTTCCAAAAACTTACTTAATACCTAAGAAGGTAAAAGATCACGCTTTGAGAATAAAGCTAATAAATACTAAAGCAAAATCAACGGTGTAGGTAAGCCATCATAAGAGGAGGCTTGAAAAAAGTTTACCAAAAATAGGAGAGGTGCAAACCTAATTTACAGCTTTTCAGCTCATCCTTTTTTTTTGGTCATAGGATCACCAAGAATATGAACTATAATAGGAGATAAGGCAAAAAGGAAATTATTTATAAATTCACCTGCCAGCCTCTTTTATCTTTTCATATCCTTTTCCTTTTCTTAGAAAATCTTGCTTTCTCTGTTCTTCCAAAAGGAGGTGGATGTTACTCCCAATATTTTAGTTACTTTACTATATATTTTAGTTTCTTTCTTTTTTTTTTTTTTTTTGGTGGCAGGGCCGTATGGGGATCCAAACCTTTGACCTTGGTGTTCTCAGCACCATGCTCTACCAAGTGAGCAATCCTGCCACCCTATATACTTTAGTTTTTAAAATCCACTTTGTCTTGCTTGATTTCTTAGTTTGCTTTTTCCATTTCAGTTTGGACCTAAAGGAAAGAAGCAGGCTGGGTTGAATTGCCTGGGACTTCTGAATTTCCCCATATGGATTCAAAGCTCAGAAGTGGGAGGAGCACAGGCCTTGTTTAGTGAATTTCAAGCACCCAGTTCTCAGGGTAAAGGACAAGGCTAATTCTGCTCTGAATAATCCTACTATTCAGAAAACCTGGTGTCTGCAGGAAAAAACCAGGCTATGACTGCAAACCCAAAGGTGAAGGCAGACAACTGCCAGACAGAGGCAGGAAAATGGGGAGGGCCTTTAGTAAATACTGCATGCCTCCCGGGGCTGAGTGGGTTTTGACTCAGGCAGGAGATAAAGGGAATTTGTTAAATAAAGAAGGCAATTGGGGCAGACAAAAGCTTCTGGCACAGGAAGGTAGTTCGACTAAGGAACCAAAATGTAGGAATCTGAATAGGTTCCTTGGTGTGAGGTTGAAGGGAAACCTGATTGAAAAGAAGCAGCTGGCAGTGAGTCTCTCCTTAAGCCATTCCCGGTTTCTGGGTGGTTGATGTAAACTCTGTTGTTCTACAAGTGTCCTTGAGAATTTTAAAAGGTAAGTACATGGGAAATTCAATGCAGTAGTAGCACTACCTCCAAGTATATCACCAAGCAAGCTATCAAGAAAGAAAGTTCATGGATCACAAATTAAGGTGCTAGAATTGCAAGGTCTAAGCTGTGGATGAGACGCTGCTTTGGGAGCTATCCCCAGTGTTCTCTCTACTTGCAAGTAATAAATCCTTTTCCTCCTACCCTAGCCTTGGCTGTGCTCTCTGAAGGACGGACCCCTGTCATCCAGTAATGGAATCATTAAATCAGTTAAACATACATTGCACAAAGCACAGGGAACAGGATGGAGTACACTTAGGATAAGGGCGCATGTGGGTAGAAAGGGGGTTGCGATGTCCATGTGACCTATCTCTGAAGCCCCAGCCATCTCCATCGATGGTGTGGTCACAACTGACAACAAGGATAAGCATTTGAAATTGAATTAAGGCCAGGACTCTGCAGCAGGAGTATATGTGGTCACACTGTGTGTGAAGGCTCTCGACACCAAGGGGCAAGTACTCCTGGCCACGGAAGGAGCTCTCCTTGGTTGGATGAGTGGCTTTGGAATTTTTTTTTCTTTTTTGTAACCAGAACGTAAGTGTCTTTTTTTTCCTTAATGTTTTGTTTTGTTTTTATCGGCGTTTTGGAATTTATTTGTATTACTTTGGCAGAATACATGAAGGACTGGAATGAGTGTCACCAATGGGTGACCAACTTAAGAATTATGGATGTTGCATGTCTCTGGCACATGAGGATATTTACTGTTGACTAAGAGTATCAGGTGTCTCTTTTTGTTGTTGTTGTCAGACATAGCTTGTTTTTAATATATTTTTTTTTACTGATCCAATATCTAAACTAAAACTTCAAAAGAGTAGATGGTGCCAGTGCCGCTTTACCACGGTGGTACCTGTGGGCCCATGAAGATCATTCAGGTATCAGAAACAGTTCTTCCAAATCCTCACAATTAATTTAGTTCTTCAATTGGTTTTGTTTGCCATAGTTAATGGCTCTCAGGCAAGTTTCAGTAGCATTTAAGGTCCTCCAGTGCAAGATAAAATGGTAAAAAGAAAAGAATTTCATATTTTAATACAAAATATTCACACAGCATACTACACCTCTGTCTGCTAGCTGAATACCATGTTACTGATGAACTCTAGACAGCAGAAAAAAGAAAATTCCCTCTCCCAAGATCTATTAACAAAAAATGTAATTCCATACACTATCAGGATGTTGCCTTAGGGTAGGAAAATACATTCTAAAAATCTATGTTGGAGAAAGCAGGCAAGAAAACAGCATTTTTTCCATCACCAAATCTGATCCCATGCCCACTGGAATCAAGTTCAAAGTCTCATTAGTGTTCCCATTGGAAAGGTCTTTTTCTGCAAATCACCCCGGCTGTCTGCTGTTCCTGTGTGTGCTGCTGCACTCTTCTCCCACTAGAAAGAAGCATTTCTCCAGTCTTCCTTTTGCTGTGACTTCTGCTTCTGCAGTTAAGAGTTAAATAATAATTAATGTTGCCCTAAAGGTGAGTTAAAAACCCAAAGTGCAGGCTAGAATCCTGCTGTCAGGGTGTCATGTTTCAGGGAGCTGGTTAAAAAATACGGAAGGCTTCCTCCAAAAAAATAAATAAAATTTAGAAGTGTCACACATAAAAAATATGGAAGGCTTCCCAAATTTGCGTGTCCTTCTCGGGCAGGGGCCATGCTAATCTCTGTGTTGTGACGGTGTTAGTGCACGTGCTGCCCGAGCAAGTACTGAGTGCTTCTTGCTTCTTCTGTCGCTTTTTGTGTACTGTGCACGACCTCTGCTTAACTAAATCTCATATGTCTTACGGCTTATTAACTTATCTATCATGTGACTTATGAGTTACGCAAATTCCACTTCTCTCTTCCATAGCCAGTGAACATTCTCAGATAATACAACAAATGCACATTATACAAGATTAGCCAGACAGTTTATGTCCTTTCTGCATCTCTAAATCATTCCTAATTCTTATCCTCTCCTAGATCCCAAATACATTTCATGAGTCTCATATCCTTCCTCAGTGTGGGGAAAATAGGATAATTGAGTCAGGCTCCCTCCACACTTCTTGTAAACAAGTTGTGTGTGGGTGGAGTTAGTGTGCATGTGTGCCAATGTATCTTTTAGTTAATTGCTTTGGTGGGTGCTTCAGTTAGTATAGTTAGCAGAGCTGGCCGGGAGAGCTTGCATCTGAAGGTAGAACATGTTTACTCTGCTGGCAGCTGCTCAGGTTTCAGTTTTTCTTAGGACTTCGCCAGTAGCAGTTGAGTTTCTGAGTTTCTTTCTGCACGGCCTAGCTCATAGTGTTGTGTGTGCTTAATAAAGACTATTCCTTCTTCCACCAA